GGAAAAGCACTTGACATGATCTTGCATTTCACCTCTGGATATCATCTGGAAGGTGACGGACAAACCGAGCGAGCTAACCAAACCCTAGAACAATACCTCCGGATATACTGCAACTATCAGCAGGATAATTGGTCAGAACTGTTACCCTTGGCCAAGTTTGCGTACAACAATGCTCCAAGTGCTACCACTGGAGTTTCACCATTCTTCGCCAATAAGGGTTATCACCCAAACATTTCCATACATCCGGAGTGTGATCTTTCCTCCACCCGTGCCCAGGATTATGCTATAGATTTAGATGAGCTTCACCAATTCCTCCGAGAAGAAATGTCCCATGCCCAAGCACGATATCAAGGACCTGCGGATGCTAGACGGAAACCCACTCCGGACTTCAAAGTCGGAGAACAGGTCTTCATTAAAGCAAAATATTTCCGCTCGACCTGACCATCAAAGAAGCTCTCAGAAAAGAATCTTGGTCCATTCGACATCATCGCTCGTCCTGGCACTCACTCCTTCACCATCCGTCTTCCGGACGCCATGCGATCCATGCACCCCATATTCCACGTCTCTCAGTTAGAACCCGCAACTCTGAACACCATTCCTAATCGCATTCAACCTCCTCCACCTCCGGTATTAGTCGACGGAGAACCGGAATACGAAATCTCCGAAATTCTGGACTCAAAGATCGACCACCGGAGACATCATTGCCAACTACTATACTTAGTACGTTGGGCCAGATATGAGGGAACAGACGAAGAAACTTCCTGGATACTCACAACCGAACTCGGAAATGCGCCGGAACTTCTATCGGATTTCCACTCGGCATATCCAGATAAGCCGGGACCAACTTCTAACAAAGAGTAAGAGGGACATGCATATATGTACATTATTTAGGCGTCCGACATTCTGGACTTCGGATCCGATGACCTAAGAGTCCATCTCCATGTCTCTGCCAGATCCGCCAGCCTCCTCCGGAGCATCCTCCACATGCATCCAGAAACCATTCCTCAGACTCTCCATGAAGAGAGCCTGAAACACCCTCTGCTCCTCCATGAACCGGAGCATGTTTCACTTACCCGGTCCATCGCAGCCCTACTTCCTTCCGCCACTGCAACACCTCTCTCCATCAGCCCATTGGTCTGGGCCAGTTCCGCCACAATGTTGTTGGCGGCTGCGACCCAGGCCTGGTCATCATACTCTGCCCAGTCTTGATCCTCTCCAATGACTGTCCGGGGATTGGAAACTATTTCCACGTCGTCGTCAATGTCCTCCGGACTGCGCTGACATCTTTTGCCCTTGCCCTTTGGGGATGGAGATCCCTCCGGATGCGCGCGTTTCTTGCCTTTGCCTTTGCCGGCCGGCGCCTTGACAGGCGGATTTCCGCCGACGCACTTTTCCTTGGACGCGCGGCACTGGTCACAAGTCCGGATCTTTCAGAATCATCAGTAATCGTCCGGATCTGGACAAAATAGAAAACTCACCCTAGGCATCTTAGACGCTACTGCCCAGGTGCAAATCTTGCGCCTAAGGACACACATCTCACATGCGACCTCCAGGTCCGCTGGACCGGAGGACTAACATTTTGTTGAACTCCGGAAAAACACAAAAAACCTCATCCAACTCACCTCCGACACGTTGCCCATCCTAACCTTTGCCAAACGCTCCTGCTCGCGCTCAGCCAACCTTTTCCGAGTCTCCTCGATATCCTTCCACTTCTGTTCCTCCATCCATTTCCACTCCTCTTCCACCTCCTTGCACTTGCGTTCCTCCTCCTCCGAGTCCACCTCTCTCCGAGCGTCCGCCTTGAGTCGCGCAATTTCGGCCACCATTTCGGCCTGCCTCTCTTGGAGGAGTTGCCGGGCGGACTTCGTGTTGCCAGAAGTGGAGTTAGACATGTTAAAGCAGTAATAGGAGTTAGGGGGAAAGTTTTGGACGTCTCATGGGCGCCCCAGCCTACTTATATGTCCAGTTCTATTTTTACGAGCTCTGCCCATCATCCCGCATTCATAGAAGTCCAGTCTGGTGTAGCACTTGAGCTCGCGCTAGGCTTGTATCCAGCTATTTCCTGATACATGTCAAACATCTGAATCACTTCCCGATGTTATCCGACACTCATCCGCTCAATCCGACGCTAACCCGCTCAATCTGATGTTTATCCGCTAAACCCAACGCTAATCCGACGGAACCTGACATTTCCCGCGCATCGGACCCAATATTTTCCCGCGCATTTGTCCTCCCTATGTCTTGTCCTGTCGTATCTATCCCCACTAGGTGCGCAGTTATTCATTTTCACGTCACTAACATTGTAGAATGCATTATTACATGTCCACAGTACATCATGTCTTATTACATAGGACATCGGACCCGAAAATCAGTGCTACTACTTTCGCCTATAGCACTCCGAAATTCTACATAGATACCATATATTTTGCATACCTCCTACCTATTTACTTTACCTTTCTACCTCCGAGTAGGAGGAGGTCATCCAATATTTGTAGTTCTTAGTTGGATTCCACAATATCATCCTTTCTTTATCTGAAACATCTGACGGTAACCCGCCATTCACTATCCCCAACATTCACTACATTCCCGACACAAACCCAACGCTAACCCAACGCAAACCCAACGAACCTGCTAACCCGAAACCCGAAAACATCGGACCCGACGTTTTTGACATCGGACTCGTAATTATACCTTCGGACTTTGTTTCCCGCGCTTCGGACTATCTCCCTTTTGTTATAACTGATTATTCTAATACCATACAGCAAACCCCTCAGGTCGAACGCACTTGTCTTGCAAGTAAAGCAGACTAGGCTGTGCACGACCACAACATTTTTATATTGCTGGCTACTTACTTTGTGTAGTGCCCAGCAATTGTTGTATCTCTACACCGGACTTCCGGATCAGAAGCCTCATGGGCTCGGCCCTAAGGGGGGGATACTGTCATATCCCGCGTTCCAGACCCGGACCTATCACACACATCATTTCTGGACTTCCGGATCCGGCCGACTTCTATCTATCGTCCAGATCTGACCCGCGTCTATCTTCCATGCCTTATCCCTTTGTACGTTCCTTCTCCAGTTAGACTATACTCATTTTCTGTACCTTGTTTCATTTCCGCCTTTATTTTCCTATGTTCTCATCTCCGTCTTCATTTACTATTTTCCGATAGACTAGTGTTTGACTTTTCTATACACTCCGTCCACAGCCTCGCATAGCTTCGGACTGCACAGACTGATTCTCCATTAAGTCCTCAGTAGTAAATAAACCCTGTAGAATCTTTGTACTTCCTCAGTTCAAATATTATCTTAGACTCTGCTCATTCCCTTCTCCATCTGACTTGAGTTTCTCCTCTCGTCGTCCTCCACTAGTCTTAGGATCGACTCCTATAGACTTCTCACCTCTGCCTCTACCTCTGGTAGTCCTCTGCTGTTTCCTTTCTAGTTCAGACATCGTCCGGATTAGTCTTATCCCTCGTTCCCGAACGTCCGCTGGAATTCCCGCGCATCGGACATCAGACTCCGGACTCGTCCGACAACCTTCGGACATTGTCCAACAGCCCTCAGAAGTTAGGGGCACGTACTCGGGTAAGGGGCGCAGCGCATGAGCTGAAGCCAAGCCCTTCGGATCCGACCCTTGAGCACGTTCTTAACAAATGAGCAAAATGTGAGGCCTTCTGTGTCAGATTGCAGAGAACAAATGAGAGCATTGAAAATGCAAGTTCCAATGCTAGTTTGAATGACACCGGCAGCTCCATAGGGATATTTGCATCTGGGTCAGTCAAGTCTAGATCGGTGCTATCAGGAAGCGAATGGAGCACAGGATCAATGGTATCGTGGTCAAATTCATGCTAAGTGAGTTGTGAACTGCTCTTGATGGGGAAAGGGGAAGGGTGGTGCTGATGCTGGGTAGGGAATTCAGCTGGGGTGTTGAGGGTATAATGGGGCTATTGCACATTCAGTCAAGCACACAGTTAGATAAAATAGAACATACCTGATAATGCTGAGTGCAAGTTCCATTGGTCCCTGGAGTGAGCGACAGAGTACCATTCAGCCCAGCATGAACATAAGGATCGGGCTGCGAGAGGTGTGATAGACGTGCAACTGTCAGTGTGATCCTGGGGTGTGGTTGCCACGCCCCAGTTTGGTCACAACTGTATGCATTGCCAGCACTGTCGTAGCATAATTCGGACATGAGTATATAACTTCAATTGAGTGTCAGAGAGAGAAAGGATCAAATCAATGAATGCTCACCTTGTACTTGTCAAAAGTGTTACTTTATATAATAAGGGTCTGATGGCTGTCAGCTGTTGTCATTCTGGAATTGTAGAGTTGGAGAATGAAATTTTCTTGAGGGGACCTTCATATTGGACACCAGTTGTCCATTGTACGTTGATGTTGACATATAAGGAGGCACTGCAGTCTAAGGCTTGGCAAGCGCTAGTGAAATTTTCTTGAGGGGACTTTTGCATTGGATATCAGTTGTCTATTGTATGTTGATGTTGGAACTGAAGGAGGCACCGCTGTCCCTTGGTGACCGCTAGTGTCAGGCTCAGAGATTATAAATTCAGCTCACCATAAAGTGTCCAAACTAATACCTATAGAAACAAGGTAAGTATATAAAAGTATGTGAGGGATCCGTGAAGAGCAGGGACAGTAGTGTCCAACAGTGTTAGATGACAGAACCTGCGCACATACCATGCAGTAAGATTATGTCAGCGGATATCTGGCATGAGTGGTCCTAAAAAGGCAAAGTATGAGTTAATTTGATTTAAGGTTTATTGGGAGGGGGGCAAACCCTTGTTGAATTTCAAATGGTGATGAAATGACACCCAGCATCGCGGCACACCTTCCTAAAGCATGAAATGATAATCTATCCTGTATTATTTTGCCTGCAGGAAGTCATCCAATGGCCCCACTCAATTCTTATTTTATTCTGCCATTTTATTTTGTGGCCTGTAATATAAATCTTGATTACATGTGAAATAAAATTGAGTGCCTCAGTTAATTCTTCCAGTTTATTTGATGCAGGCATTGCTGGGCTTGTAATGTGCCAAGTGGCTTGAAGTACCAGAGCATTTTGTATGCATGTTTTTTCTCTGCTAAAGCAAGCACAGCAATGACAAGGCCAATAAATCTGTCATCCTCATCTTCAGTACATGTGAGTTGGCAAATAGCAAGAGCTTTGAGTTCTGTAGCTAGTTGTCCATGAAATGAACAACTCTGTTTGCCCATACGACGAGCCATGCTATTGAACTTGATGACAGCTGCTAGACGAGTGACCAGTCCCCTGTTACTCGTGCAAAAAATTTCGGCTCTCAGAAGTCGCATCACTTCAAGGTACAAGCAATCACCATTCAAACTGCGTGCACAGCCATTCAATGACCCCCATCACCTCGAACAATGCATCAAAATTTTATTGACACATAGGATATATATCAAGGCCGCCGTTCACACTCTACAGTGCAGGATATGCATTCGAAGTACCATTGCAACAAAATACCTTCCACAGTGGTCACATCTTTCGAAAAGCCCGTCCCAGTCCCAGACACTTACACCTGTTTCACCGGAGAGGTCAGCAAGAAGACCTGTTTCATAGGCCGAGAGCCTGCTCATCACATCCATGCCACTGTCTTGTCCGAGCGGGAGAATGTGTGGATACACATTGTCCACAATGAGCCACCATCGATGACTGACTAGCAGCAGCACCTTGAATGATACTCTATAAATTGGGCTATGACTCACCAGCACGACGATGAACTAGTCGGATGAATGGACATGGATTTGCTGAGGGTGCACCAACTAAACCACAGAGTTGTCAAAAGTCAGGCCAAACTGAGACATGGGATCCAAGATAGCCATGGAAGTAGGGTGCAATGTCATGCTCATTAGGAGCAAGCTGGCGGAAGGCATCATGAATTGGATTCATGTTAGGTTGGGGAGTTTGCAACTATGAGCAGACCATCAATACTGACAACTGCATCTAGGTGGCAGTAAATACATACCAAGTGTTGGCAGTTCTTCGTAACCAGAGGTAAAGAAAGATGTGTGATAAATGTCTGTGATGTTGGCTGTCATGAAATTGTGAAAATCATGTCAGTACAAAGGACATAATCACCAGTGCAAACATGCTAACCTCTAAATCCACACTGCTCATTAGCACACTGCATCAAGACATGCCCATTCATGGCAGAGTCCACAATCCTGGTGGAACAAGGTGTGTCTGAGAGCATGCCACAGAAACATTCTATGAAAAGCCCTTAATGCTGCAAGTAATCTGCCAAGCCATAAGGACGAATGCAGAAACAACCTGACTTTGGGCTGGAAACATAACTTTAAGTCAGTCGTTGGCAGTAAGTCAAAGTGGGCTACATACTATGCAACAGTGACAAGTTGCTTCACCTTGCATGGAAAGATGACAAGTATTGTGCTTCCACGCTGGTACTTGATACATGGGTGAAAAATTGAATCCATGGCTACCCTGGCCTGGTACTGTACTATATCATGAGCAAGAAAAACTGCTGACCTTTATACAGAGAGCCTTGCTGAATCCCTCAGCCATGTTATGTGAGGTAAATTTTGAATGCAAGTGTCCATTTAATGAACTGCAAGAGCCCGAAATTAGTGGGTTCCTAAGTGTGCAGGTGCATCGGTGCCCATTTGCAAGTCATTGATGAACGTCCAACTGTCACATATACGGGCAATCATTTGAATTCAATGCTAATATCTGCCCCCCATTTTTCCTTCTGTCTAATTCCCAATGAGTCTTACCTGTTCACAACTTGAAGCACTTGAAAAAGTGCAACAGATATTGGACAGTGCAGGATTGTCCCCTATCTCAGTCACAAGCTCAGTTGTGTCATCGCTGTCATCACACCCAAATACACTGGACCTGGATTCAACCCTTTACACTCCCCCATATCCAAGATATCAGTCTCCCACTCCATATCATTTTACCACCGAGGAAATTTCATGGAGAGCCAACTATGTGAATTGAACCACCAAAGTCAGCGCAATTATTGATCACCCTGTTCATGCTATCCTCAAGTATCCCATAACAGCACCTGGCAGCATTACACACTGTTTTGTTGTTGATCCCATATCCTTCATGCAGCCTCAATCAGCATTCCAATATTCTCTTGGTGGAGGCCATGGAGGGCATGAAAATGCAGTGTGCCTGCTTCTCCGAGATGATGCAGGCAAAGGTGTTCGTTGTCGCCAGCTTAAGTCATCGTGTATGTACATTAATGATGTCTGAGACTATTGATTTTATCATACTAACGAGAATGAGAACATACAGGCAATGGCCTCAAGGTATGCACATTCAATGAGGCCAGTTTCAGCAGTAATTATGCTGCATCTCCGACTTGGAGTCTGTCTCAGGCTGGATACAGTGATTATTCTGCAGAGGCAGAGGTTTTCAACAAGACTCTAGCAGTTTTTTGCACTGTCTCTGAATGGGGATGTGGCTTCAATGCAAACTTGGATTTCAGTCCCGAGATAGTACTAGACAGCTTTGATCTTTACTCCAAGTCAGAGTCCAGGGGGTGTGGGGCTCCCCTCGTGTTATCTGTGAATAATCTTGGCTGTCCTTATATTCAGTTAGTTCAACTTGAATGGTGTGGGTACAACAATTCAGATGGTGTATACTGAACAATGTGTTGGGTCTTGCAGAACCTAGCTGCTATTCGACCCTAGAGGGTTTCTGGACCAGGCTCAAGGCTCAGAGGAGAGGAAATATGATAGAAACTTGCTGAGTACTCAAACTCATACTGGTAACTGGTGAAAAGGTAACTTGATTATGTAAGCTACAAAGTGCAAACATAACACTAAGGTAAAAACAGTCTCTACAAGCCTAGCCAGGAATCAGTCCCTACAACGGCTAGAGTGTGTACTACATAGACTAATGATCCATTGCAGCTGCAAAAATTTCAATGCTTACATTTCTCGAGCTCGCACCCATCTTGTCCTCCAGAATTTGGATGAATTCAATACTGATTGCTTGCGGGCACTTATAGAGAATGACTGTAAGGCAATTTCCTTCTATGAAACACGAGCAAAAAATGATGGATATGGTCCTCTCATGCCATGCACATTTGTTGCCTCCCCTGCCAGGCAGAAGCAATGTTGTTGTGAGTTACTTTCTGTCATTTGAAGTAGCATATATCCTAATCTGTTGGGCATCGAAATAATGAAGGAAAGTTGGCTCGTGAAACACTTCATAGCTGGCCAGTTCCATGCAAGGCAAAGTTTGACATATATACACCATACGATCTCACTGCCTGCCCACAAGTCCTTGTTATCTGCACCAACAATCACAGCCACCCTCCACCTGCACCTGTCAAAACTCCAGAAGCTATTAAAGCCATTTTCTACGAGTTGCTGCTCACACTCAGCTGGAAACTTGCTGATGCAACACCACGTCATATTTTACTTGATTCTGCATTCATAGTACAAGCTTTACAAGCTCACCTCAGTTGGAAGGAATCCCACAATCCCACACTGTCAGACCTTCACCCATCTCTTGGGAACTCTGACCATGCTCGGCGCCTCATCAACACTTTGCGGTTTAATGAATTTCCAAGTGGAATGGGGTTCACAGGTGCTATTCACTTGGCAACAAAACATGATCTTTTGCCCGTTGACGAGCGCTATATTCATTGTGCAGAGTCACATCAGCTATCCACCAAATCAGCATCAAATCTGTCTGCGGCCACCACATCAACTTTGATTAGTAGTCTGTAGTTGGTCATTTGCATGACAAAGCGGATGTCATGGCGTCTGATGCAAGCAAAACGGCTCTTGATCGACACTTCATTCAAACGTATACATGGCTGGCAGGAATTTGAATTTGAGTCTTGGGACGTCGCCCACATGAAATGTAAGTTCGATACCAAATTGTTCGACTCAGCTGATGGCCATGACTATGTATTGTAGCTGTTATTGGTGCTCAAGCATTCACAACATCTCAATCAGCGCAAGCACACTTCATCCTCTTCCAACAAATATTCAAGATTGCCAGTGCAGACATGGGTTGTGCTGTTCAGTTTCAATACATGCACAGAGAAGGGATTCAAACCATCATTGCTGATGGACATAAAGGTCAAGGTCAAGGTAAATATATTTTCTTGCAATCCGAGTCAATGTAAATTGCAATTTGAATATATTCAATAATTCCACAGGCCTAGGTATGTATTGTGTATACCTGTGTAAAGACTCAATACAGGCTTGCTGCTATGACACCACTGCTCTACTTCATGACCTGGATCCATATGACCATCTGTGCTGCTTCTACTGTCTATGTCTCGCACACTATAAACGCAATATCCATAGTCTTCATGGTCAAATTCCCAAAGACATGGAAATTGCCATATTGACGATCGCATCAGTGGAGCCTCATCCCGATCTACAGGGAACATTGAAGAAGATAAAGAAAGGTGGAAAAAAGGCTGCAGGTTTGTGATATTTTCTAATTCATGTTTTGAGGTATTTCTAAGGCAAGATTACTACTGGCAGCGTGGCTTAAAGATAAAATTGAAGGCACGAAGTTTGCACTACCAGCACTCTATCAGCCAAACAGTCTCATCCTGCTCGAAATTTGGAAGGCCTCACCAACTACTACCAATGGAAACGAGCAAGCACACAGGAATATCAATCATGATGGTGTGTGTCTTACGCTATTGGGAGGAATCATGCGAGGATTTCACTATGACACAAACATCAGCGCTAGTTTGGACCTTTTCGATGCATTTGGCATCAACTCCAGTGACCATTTATCTACCCATGCTTACTGTGCAAAATGTGCTCTTGCTCAACAAGGTAAGGAATACTAGTATATTCATGTTGTTATCTAGAACAATTAAATGGTTTTCAGTTAGATATACAAGGTCTTTGCCCTCAGAGGGCAACACAAGCTTCGCATGTGTTCGTCTCACTCCTCCACCTGTCAAGCCCCAACTCATCTCTGATGACTGGTTCCACCGGTGGCGTCATCCCAGTATTGACATTCAGCACTCTCACTTATGCACTAACTGCAGGTGCACACGTTATGGATTATCAAGCTCGTTCCCCATCATTTAGTGCTGCACCTCCCACTGTATGCGCAGTACATCACCATATCTATCCCACTCAAGATCAACTGAGCACTTTCAGTACATTGCAAGATGCTGTAGAGTAGATGATACAATGCCTGGTGGTGCAATTTTTATTAATGGTGCAAAGATTACATGTGTGATATGATGCGATGAGATAAGTATTTGGGGGGCAGGAATCAAAATCAAGAGCACACGTGACCTTAAACTCAATGTCAGTCATGGCCTTCGTAAGACAAGGTGAGAACTTCAGAGAACTGCGAGCCTGGAACCAAGCGGCTGAGCAAGCGAGTGATCGAAGGAGAGATGAGAGAAGGCTGTGATTATAGGTTGAATGTGACAGAGACAGGCAAGACAGCCAATGAATGAGGTTATTGTGCAGTGGATGTGAGAGAGTGAGGGCAATGAGCGAGTGAGTGGGAGCAGTGAAAAGCCGGTGGAGGATCATAACTGTCTAGGAAGATGTAGTTAAACATATGTCAGCCGGTGAGAGTCTTCAGAGTTGAATTAATTAGTATGTACATTCCAAAAGGCCTGAGTAACCGAGAGTTTGAACGAGGACACCAACAACGTACATCGATATTTGGAGCATTGAGCAGCACATGCAGGTTTGGCCATGGAGGCAAGATAATAATCAATGCAAGTTGAACAGCCATGTCAGCGCTATTGTAAGTCAACAGGCATTAGTAACCAAGATGGGCTCCTTGGGGTCTTGCATAGGCTTGAAGGAGCAATTGCTTGTACCTTGAACTGACGCAATCCCAGGGAGCCGAAAATTTTCGGACAAGTAACAGGGGACGGTAGACTCTGCTAGACACTGGATGACACACCTGCGGTGTTGGTAAATTGAATCTCCAAGGGTGAGTTATTTTCAGGCACTTGTGCGCAGTTTATTTCTCGGACTCTGTATCAGTGACAGTTTGGTGATGGCTCATAAATTGGAGAAATAAAATGGCAGAATAAAATAAGAATTGAGTGAGGCTATTAGTATTGATGATTATCAAGAATTATTGTAGTTTAGAGGAATTTCCCTGGGGAGGTTTTTCCTGATGAAGATTTATTTTATTTCTCCCTCAGAATTTTATTTTGCCATTTATCTAAACATCTGACTTCGCTACATGACTAAAGTCTCCATCCCTACCTCGTACTCTCTAAGATTAGTGGTTCTCAAAGTCAAATTTACGAACCATTAGAAACATCCAAATGAAACAAAGTTCCAGAGGTATTCAAGCTCCGCCAGAATATGATAGGTATCAGTTCTATTGCTAAGTACAATCGATGATCGCGATAATAAACATCATGCCTTGCACATCCGCTCGACAACAGATCTTGCAGGCACTGCATGCTAAGCAGCTCGATCTCCAATATGCTCACTACTTTGAACTCGTCAAACTTGCCATGGAAGGACTCGAAGACTCCGATGATAGTGATGATTCTGATTCTGATCGCCAGTCCACATCGTCAGAATCCTCACTTAGCGAGTCGATTTTCTCGTTTGCGACATCCATGGATGCAACAGAAATACTGACATGCTCGTGTCCCTTCCTCAAATTCAGTAACACAGTTCAAGCCTTAGCCGATGAAGTGGAAAAGTCGCGGATACTCTTCGCTCATCCAAAATCTAGCCGGGCCCCACAGCTACATCTGCTTGAGGAGTGGGCGCTGGACAAACCTGAGAAGTTCCGTCAGTAAGCTTCGTGTCAATCCTCCAGTCTTCGCAGAGATTGTCAATAAAATCAGCAATCATCCTATATTCCATAACAACTCACGCAACCCTCAATTGCCAGTCCCAGTACAGCTCGCTATATTCTTGAATAGCACCGGCCACTACGGAAATGCCGCGATGACAGAAGATATCGCGGATTGGGCCAGTGTCTCAATCGGGACGGTATATAATTGTCATTGTCGTGTCATGGTTGCTATCCTTCAGCACCACGACGATGTAATCCACTTTGATCCGCTTGATCACGATGATCAAAATGAGCAAGAGAGAGCGAAGGACTGGGTTGAAGGACAGACTTGTCTGGAGTGGAGGGGTGGATTTCTTAGTGTCGACGGCACACCATTCAATCTGTTTCAGAAGCCTGGGTGGCACGGTGAGGGATTTTATGACCGTAAATCGAATTATTCATTGTCAGCCCAAGTGCGTCATGAGTTAGAGCAGAGAAAATCAAACTAACATTTCAGAAGGTCGTAATTATGCCCCACAACCTGCGCATCGTTGATTATGTGATCGGAGTCCCCGGGAGTGTCCACGACTCAAACATATTTGCAAAAGCTCAAATTGCACGCCATCCGCAAACATTTTGGGGGGGAAACGAGTGGATCTGGGCAGATTCAGCCTATGGTGCTCACCCGTGGTGTGTTGTACCTTTTAAGCGACCGGCAGCTGGTGGATTGACGTGTGATCAAAAAACATTTAATTATCACCTGTCGGAGGTAGTACAAACCGTTCTCTGAGTCACAACTGTCAACTCAACATCTGCAGGTCCGCGTTCGCTCCGAGCACTGCTATGGTTCTTTGAAAGGGCGATTTCAATCTCTTCGTGAACTTCAAGTTCAAATACAGGTGCAAAAAGACCTTGATGAAGTTAATATGTGGACCCATTGCTGCTTTATTTTGCATAATATGATTGTCGACATCGAGGAACAGCTTGGTGGTACTGGTACATTCAATCATTTTGCCCAGGAAGCAAGGCAGTGGGGTCATGGAGCGCAGGGCAGTGAACAGGAGGATGGGGACGATGCCGAACAAGAAGGAGCTGGGGATGAAGGTTTTATTGGGTCTGAAGGACAGATTTTTCGAAACACGCTGATGGGTCAGTTACTGCGATATCAACAGTGACAGGTAGTAGATACGTACTTTAGTAAATTTACCCAAGGACCTAGAATGAGTGACACGAGGAAAGTGCGATGGACGCAAGAGCCTAGAATGAGTGACGCGAGGAAAGTGCGGTGGATGCAAGGACCTAGAATGAGTGACGCGAGGAAAGTGCGGTGGACGCAAGAACCTAGAATGAGTGACACGAGGAAAGTGCGGTGGATGCAAGAACCTAGAATGAAAAGCCGAGCCACCAAAGAAGAAATGGGAACTGCCTCTGCCGACTCGTGTTGGCAAGAAGAAAAGATGAGGACCAGCCACTGCCTCAAAGCTACCCCCTGTCTTCCCTGCTACACGGTGTAGACTTCATCTACTTAAGATGGACCGCATTAAAGACTACCTGCTCCTGGAAGAGGAATTCATTCACAACCAAGAGCGCATGAAGCCCTGGATGCAAGAGCTTAGAATGAGTGACGCAAGGAAAGTGCGGTAGATCCAAGGACCTAGAATGAGTGACGCGAGGAAAGTGCGGTGGATGCAAGAACCTAGAATGAGTGACGCAAGGAAAGTGCGGTGGACGCAAGAACCTAGAATGAGTGACGCGAGGAAAGTGCGGTGGACGCAAGGACCTAGAATGAGTGACATGAGGAAAGTGTGGTGGACGCAAGAACCTAGAATGAGTGATGTGAGGAAAGTGTGGTGGTCTTCATGTCAACAGCCTGCTTGCTTCAAACTCAAGGAAAATACAGCGGCCAGAGTGACTTCAACCAATACACGTTAAATTCTTCTAGCATACATCACGATGTTGGAACCTACAATAATGAAGAGCGAGCCTAGAACGCAGTAAAGAATTTGTGAGCTAAAATGTTAACAGCAAGGGAAGCGAAGCGAAAGCAGAACAAACATCAGGCAATTAGTTGTGATTCTCAGCACTGGAATCCTGACGAGCCAAATCTTTTTCCATAATCAAACGTTCCAACCTCACTTGCTCGAGCTTGATCTCCAATTCCAGCTGCTTTGTCCGTTCATCTGCCATTGCACGCTCGTGGTTTTGAATGGCTATTGTGCTCCGGAGTCCATGTTCACGCTCAGTGTGAGATTCACGCATCTTTAGCTCTCTGCTTGCCAATTGGGTCTCTAGCTTGAGGCGTTTGTGGTCGGCCTTGACTGTGGACGTCTCATGTATGTGCTGAACAAGTGTATCTGACGCCTCATTCAGTTTCATTGTGAGCTCAGCTGTTGGGTCTCGTGGCCGTTTGCGAGATACTGATCGGTTATGAGATGTAGTTGGTGATTGATCCGAGTCTTGATCAGATGATACATGACCACCGGAAGTATGAGAAGTACGAACACCAAGGCTGGCCTTGCGCAAATGCATGGTAAGTGATTTCATCATGCGGCTTGCAGCAGTGTCAGAGTCCTCAGAGGTATCCATCTGCACAGATGCAGCTCTGGCTTTGCTACTGGTGGTATTGGTGGATGGCAAGGGGTATTTGGGCCTATCTGCTCGTTCAGGGGAGTTGAGGGAGATCTCATTGGGTCCTAGTGGTGAAATGCTTTGCTGCGTTGTGTCAAGATGGGTGATGAATGGGTGTTGGTAGTGGTGAAGGTTAGATGGTTGAAAATGAGTCGAAGAAGCAGATGACGGTGCCCAGGGAAGTTGAGGGCAAGGGAAGCGTGAAGACAGAGAGTCAGAGGTATCGTCTGGGCTATCCCAGCCTAAACCTTCATCATCACAGAACATGTGTAACCTAGAATCATCAACTCGCGCAGGAGGATCATCATCTTTATCGGCCTCACCATCCAAAATTTCACCCGGCTCAAGGTCCCTGTTGAGAGCACCTGCATCCCCTCCCTCGTCATCCTCACGATCTGCATCATCCAGAGTCTCTTTCTCTTTCCCTTTCCCTTTACCAAAGACATCCATCGCCTCAGCCGAGAAATCCTGACCCGGGTCGGCAGTCAAAAATGATGTATTATAGGCGGGATTGGTTCTCCACCACCCGTGGAGGTCAACCCACCATGGGAATGTCTGCAAGAGGCGGTCTACAAAATTGTTAGAGTGCATGCCCGCAGAGAAAGACTGTACTGACCAAGAAGTGTCCTTGTTTTCTCATTCTCATTGAGCTCCTCAAATGAAAGTCCAGCACCTGTCTGACCGAGTTGTAGATTGATCTCATTATATTTTTTGCGTAGCCTAAAACACCTTGTTAGTAGCTAGGTTGGCGCTGAAGGACATGGGAATGCTGGCAGCAACTCATGATGTAAATCGGCCTTGAATGGGCTTCACAAAAGCGAGAGGGTGTGCTTGAAAGTATTCCCTGACCTTCGGATCTTCATCGCCTGCGAAAACAGATGCTGCGAGCTGCTGCATATAAGTGTTCTTCTGAGTGGTCATCTGCTGACGTGTGTGCCCTTCCTCCTTCGCATCCTTGGCAGAATCAGAGAATATTTTTAGTCGAGCATCTTGGTTGATTTTGCACCACTCGATAAGGCAAGCGGTACATGGACTGTTCTTCTTCTCCCAGTGTATAGTAGGCATCTTGAGTGCTGGAGCTGATCCGGTGCTGGCAGGTGGGCTGGCACTGGGAGGAGCAGAGGAATCAGCTATCAGTCCATGGCTACCACACTTCACTGGGCGACCTCGAGATCCACGTCCACGACCAGTTGCAACTCCTGCCATGATGTGCCGTGGGACACAGTGAGGAGCCCCATCTAGCGTAGATGGTAAGTCCAATCATCGCGGTACATCGGAGTTCAAAGCTGCTGAAATTGCCGTGTAGTGCCGAAGTTTTTTTCACAGCATGTGGTTACTCTGAGACCCATTATTGACCCCATCCTCTCTTCGAAATATTCTATCTTTCTTTCCCTCCACCTTTACACTAATATACAAAGGCAATCATGCATTACAATTGCAGCACCAATATATTCGCAATCTACTATGTGGGTCAAAACTACATCGTTGACTAGGTGCAATACGGTCCATCATGAATATGCCTCTCAGAGGTAGACAGATCGTGGAGTGCAGCATTTATAAAATTATAGGAACACGTCACCCACTACTACGAACATACGCTATGACAGCACCGATGTTTCGGTCTACGAGAATATCTTATCGTATCGGTTCAGGCATGAATACCACTCATAGTCTGAAGAGACGAGCTTCAGTGGCGGTCCAACATTTGTATGGAGATACTTGCCGAAATTCTGACCAGGGTCGCACCAACATTTTCCTTTTGCGTGCACGTCTCCCTGTGGACAGTGCTGGAAGGGCTCATGTCGATACCCGATGTCATTGAAGAAGTGAATTTGTTCCTTCTTTGCGAACAGTGCCGCTCCGATACTATGAACTGGTGCATCTCCCCAACGCTGTTCCAAATGAAACTATGACCCAAAGCGTGCAAACACAAGGCTCACCTCATAATAGAATCCACCCTGCTCATCAAGGTATTCGAAGAATTTGGAATATGCCTCGCCTCGCCAGAAATCAAGATCTGCGATCTCAAAGTTGCTCCAGACTTGCCACGTGATTGTATTAGCATGAGGAAACGTTGTGATACGCAGTAACCTACAGTGGCACAGATTGTAGGACTCTCCTCCATCATCAGAGAGAAATTCCATCGCATTTCCGGGAGCCACGAAATCAGGATTAGCATTAATAAAAGCTAGAGGAAGGTGAGATTGAAATCATAGTGAATACTGAATACGCTTACACTTTACAACGTTCCATAGTGTTGGGATAGTAGCTTGGTATTCGTATAGTGATATAGTGAAGCCTGTTGATGTTTGAGACTAGTATATAATTGAAAGCATCGTTTGATTTACCATACACCTTATTTTGGTCTTGCATTACGAGAAAGGGATCATAGTCCACGTCGCAGAAGAGCTTGATGTCTGGCCTGATTGGGGAAGATAAAGTAAGCCAAGCTACATCGCATCTCCTTTGGTTGCGTCTACTCACTCGACTCTCCAGTAGTATCGGTACTTCTGTAGGAGCTCGTGTCGATAGAAGAACTAATGACTGGTCAGGCAACCTCAACAAAACGCATTATGACCACGTACGCCAGAGTTAAAACGACACATATTCCGGTATCTAGGAGCAGTCAGTCAGAAGCAGTGACGATAGTTTAGCATACGCACGGAACGCTGCCTAGAAAATAGTTGGACTACATGTACGCTTGAAACCGTAAAATAACGCACCTCCATAAATCACATTATTCCTAACCATGTCGTCGCGGGATTTGCTGGCTCGATCTTCATCAACCCAAGATGGTTGATGCCAATGGTCGGACGGGATGACACCGAATTCGACTGTAGTATTGGTTAAGGCCTGTATGTGGCTTTATGGCCTGTCAGCAGCTTCAAGAATTCAAGCGTGAAAAACGCACTCCTTGAAGTTCTGCGTAAAGGGCTCGTCGTTGAGGAATACGTAAGGATACTGGAATTTCCTGTTGAACCTATCCTCGATTTGCTTCATACTGCTCATGATTCCTGAAAGGTCGGAGTTCCGTACAAGCATAACGAATGAGGCGTTCGCTTTGCGGTCTTGTAAATCCATGGGTGAATCAGGCTTGTAGTACTCGTCGGGCAGGGGTGTTTTGTAGGGAGGGTTTGACTTCGGACCAGTCCATTGCTCTGCTATATTTGAGATGGATGTCGCCTTTCCGTACTCTTCATGCGTAAAGCTCAGAATGTAGTGAATTGAAATCTATTTGATTGTTCAGTCAGCCGGATTGTCAAGTTGCCCTGAACACGTACAATAACACCCAACACAAGTAAGATGTAACGCATCGGGGTCATCATCTTTCCAGAGGTGCTCGTCCCTTTGGGACCTTTATTAACGCAAATAGAGAGAAAGGTAACTGGATAGTAAATGCAAGAAAAAAAATGAAGAGGATATAAGACTGCTGTTGGTCGCGGTGGAAGGATTGAGCCACGCCACCTAAAACGGCCAACTGAAAACGCTGGCCTATAATGGACTGCGGCGTGGTCCGGTTTCAAAGTTCTTCCTGCACCACGTGGGTCTGCTCCCTTCATCTCCTCTCTCGATGCTTAGTCCAGTCAGCACACATCGCTACATATCGTCCCTGTTGACCGTGCCTGATTAATATATGTAGTCATGGTCATGAAAATATTATGCATTATTACTAGGATCAAACGACTTAAATTAGTTTACCCTGTAGTAGTCTACAGTGGCCTATGGTAGAAATACACATATAAAGTCGTACGTCTACTAGTACATTCAATCAATCTAATCGTGCAACCGCATAAAGTGTCTGAGGCACGAATTTTGGGCAAAATCTGTGACATCGTTAGTCTCACCAGGAGAAATCATGGAGTATTATCGCACCAAAGTTATCGTTTGGATCACACGAACAGTGTCCTTCCCGCCACTGTTTACCCTGCGGACAATGAGCGAATTCAGCGTGTTTATAACCTGCGAAAGGATCAGTTATGAATATGGAATAACATGACCTTGGCTTGCCTATATCCTTAAAGAAATGTATTTGATCCTTGCGCGTAAATAAGGCTGCGGCGATGCTATGAACAGGTGCGTCTCCCCATCTCTGTGTATGGCATTCAACGAGTACGAAAACAAAGGGAGAACTGGCAACTTACCTCATAGTAGAAGCCTCCTGTGTTCTCAAGGTACTCGAAAAATTTCGTGTAGGCTTCGCCCCTCCAGAAATCCATATCTGCGATCTCGAAGTTTGACCAAACTGAGTGGGGTCAATGACCATTTTAAAGCATGAAATCGAACGGCTCTTACAGTGACACATGTTGTAAGAATCGCCCGCATTATCAGATAGAAAATCCATTGAGTTGTCTGGTGACACATATTGGGGATATTCCGCGACGAAGTCTGCCAAATCGGTTCACTCTCAAGCTATCGTGCGTGATTATCGGTGCTTACTTTTCACCGTGGACCATAACGAGGGTATAGTTGGTTCCCATTCTGTTAAGAGCGCGATTCACGCTATAATTAATGCAACAGAGATGAGAATTTACCTGGCATGGATATCGTGAAGCCTGTCCTTGCATAAATTTAGTAGTCCAAGCAACTATAACGAGAATAACTTACCATAAATTTTGTCATGATCCTCCATGAATAGAAAGGGGTCATAATCCAGGTCACAGTAGTATCTAACATCGGGCCTACAGAATGGGTCAGAACCTAATTCATCTATACGGTGAACGACTGACTGACTCTACTCTCCAGTACCATTTATATGGCGTTAAGAGTTCATGGCGGAAAAAGAACTGTAGAGAGAGATCAGCCAATGAAACATCCTTCCTAAACCCGCGATGCTCACCCCTGAATTAAACCGGCACATGTTGCGATAACTAACAACTGAGGATGAGATGGTACCCGAATGGGTTTCGAGGATACGTACGAAACACTGCCTGTGGTTTTAATGGTAAGATGACAAAAAATGGCTGACGAATGATGAACTTGCCGCCATAAATTACACCTTGTCGCACAAGTTTATTGCGTCCCTCCTGAGCTCGTCCTTCATCTATCCAGTCCGGCTGGACCCAGTGCTCGTGAGGGACCAACCCAAAAGAAACGTCTGCGTCGGTTAAGACACTGACACGCCTGACAAAGCATGAGAAACCAATTGCGCTCAGGCTAGACAGTGAGACGGTATACCTTTTGAAGTCGGTGGAGAAGGGCTCGTCGTTCAAAAACACCCAGGGATAATTAAACTTGCGATTAAACTTGGCCTCTAGCTGTTCTACACTTGATATCACGCCATTGAGATCGGAATTACGAGCCAACATTACCAAGGTAGCGTTGGCTCTGTGGGGAGGGTGAGAGACTTGTGGAATTGCATTTGCAAGGGTGGGTGATGGCTTGCTCTTTGATGAAGAAGACGACTCCGATGGTGTCTCGTTTGGTTGTTTGACATCCAAAACCGCCACAGTTTCAGAGTCCTTGGATGTCGACCATTGAGTAGACAAAGTTATGAAAGACGTGGAATGGTCTTCACGACCAATAGCCATGAAATAACACACAATCAGCTATATGTGAAGCTGAATATGAGGTAGCAAAACGCGATGTCATTGACGTACCACAGCTGTGACTGCAATGACGATAGATCTACGATGTGCCGCAGTTAACGGGAGAGCCATGTTTCAGAAGAGAGCGCCCTGATGCCAGTCAGAGAGTTGACCTGGGGACGAAAGAAAGTTGAGATAGCAAGCACTTATGTATTATATCAATACGAAGCGAGGGAAAGGAACGAGTACTGATACGATTTAGAAATGAAGTATCACGCAGTTACGCGGAACTGCGCAGCAGCGGTATCGAAACCTGACAACGGATGTGAAATTAAGGACATGTGGCCGGTGTTAGTGTTTCCACGGTATTGCCTTAACGATTAGTGAGGGTCTGATGTAGTTGGACGTTAGTGGATGATGTGGCGCCTTGACAAAGTGTGCAAACTCCTTACTCAAGGACTAGCCTGAGCTTCTCGGCATATATGGATTTTGCATCACCCACGAGCTTCTATATAAAGTTCTATCTGCACGCGGTCAGGCTAATTCATGTCATGACATGTTGGACAGCCCGGTCAGCGCAAACATGCTGGCTGGCGCCGCACCCTGACGGTAAAATAATAATGCGCGGCAACAGCCATCAAGCTCAACTTGAGCCCGGAGATTAGCCGCGTGATGCATGACTCACATGGTATCGTCTAATAAATAGTCTGGGCCGATAACAATGCTTTACAGTCCTCTTCAACGCAGGCGGCCACGGGTCTTTGGGTCATCAAAATTCTGTTGAGAGGTCTGACTTTAGATGCGCTATAAAGATAGCGCGAGTATATGTTGACGGTGCTGTAAGGAGCCTATGCACCTAGCAGTACTGGACTAGTGTGATTTCAGAGTGACAGCCTGCACCGCAATATCATAATGGATGGACCACAGGTAAGAATGGCATCACGACAAGACTGAACTAGCTGCACAGACACTGCTATCGCCTCAGTAAACCTTTGAAATTCAGAATAGTAGTATTTAACGATCCTTGACTTATCATTGAACAATGCACCATCCTTGCAGCTTGCTCGTGTAGAAGAAACGTCAAAGAACTGATAGAATGATATGCAAGCCAGTTCAAGCTGGAGAACAACGCTAAGACCGAGTTTGTCAGTGTTTGTTCCGCTTAGTTTTTTTGAAGCTTTCGTCACTTCGGTTTGTAGACGTGTTGTGTTGTTCTATGGCGTCTCCCACATTTCCCCCTGCAAAAGATGCCTCTACGGACCCATCACCGTCGTCCGTACCGCAGGCACCAAAGTCATCGTACACGTCTGCCCTTTCTCCTCTGACCAGCGCTTTCAGCCGCTTTTCACAATGGCGGAAGTCATTTGATCTCCCGAACCCGGGCACAGTCGAGAATTTGCAGAAGGAAGTCAAGTGTACGCGTTTTCCCTCTATCGTTTGGTCTTCCAGCCGTCCCTGACATTTTATAGCGACTCATCTGACGAACTTTATGTTCGATGGTGCCAGGGCTGATCTCACGAAGAGTTTGTCAATGAACCCGGCATTTCAAGTCACACACTCTTTCATTCTCGGGTCGCAAGTCTCAACACCATCATATAACTTTGGTGCTGTCTTCGCCAACAATGACGTTAGCCAATTTGTCTTCCGCGCCTTTGTTACTCTGTCTGATCCTTTCCCTGCAGATGTTCCTCCAAGGCAGCGTTGACCATGAGGGTAATGTGAGCGCACGTATGAATCAAGGGTGGGCCGAAAACTCCATCACGAAGATTCAGACGCAGGTTTGTTTCCTATCGCACCGTCACACGCGTTCCGTCTCACATCCTCATCTATAGATTTCATCACAAGCTGGCCATAGCATGATCCAACTGGAGCACGATTACCAGGGTCAAGATTACTCCTTGAACGCGAAAGCTGTCAATCCGTGGCCTGCAGATCTCACGGGCATATACATCGGAAGTTACTTCCAGTCTGTGACAAAAAACCTTGCATTGGGCGTGGAGACGCTTTACCAACGGCCAACTCCTGATATGTCCGACTTCACGACGTCATATCTAGCCAAGATCACCAGCGATGACAAGAATTGGATTGCAACTGCACAAGTTCAACCATCCGGTATTCTACAGGCTACATACTGGCAGAAGCTCCACGAGAAAGTGGAGGTCGCAGCAGATCTTCAGCTTATGGCCTCTCCTCAGCGAAGAGATGCTATTGCAACTCTCGGTGCAAAATACGACCTCCGGATGTCGACGTTCAGAGCACAGTTGGACTCAACAGGCAAAGTTTCTGCTCTGCTTGAACAACGCTTTGCTCCAACCTTTGCGTTCCTTGTGGCGGGTGAAATTGATCACTTCAAGGCAAGTGTTTCCCACCTCACTGCGATGTTGTCCAGACTGACATTCTGCAAATTCAGAACGCTGCCAAGGTTGGTGTCGGTGTGATGATTGAGAGCTCTACTTTGACCCCGGAAGAGATGGGTATGCCCCCTCAACATTGAATTAATTATACTTAGACACGTACTTTCGGATTCTATTATTGGCATACATCTCTTCTCAGGATCTCTGCAGTACCAGTGTGGTTGTCAACTAGCCCAGCAGCACCCCCACCTTTGCAGAACATCTGGTTTGACGAGAGTACACTACGTAGCACTTATAGAGTGCACCAATCTGAATGCGTACAAAAATATGGTGTGCTACTTGGTGATACTAAGGTAGCGACCTGCCTTCCCTGTGGGAAACCAACACCACAGCTGAGCGGACTTGGTGGACACTGAGTACTGAGTACTGAAACTCACCATGGCAAAGTTGATTGAAGTCTGCAACGTCGCCTGCAAGAAGGACAAAAAGCATGTCATTTTCTCTCAATTGAACTTCGATGTCAATGAGAGAGATATCATCGTTTTACAAGGCAAGAGTGGTGCAGGGTGCGTTGACTTCTCTCCCTGTGGTATTTTTTTTGGAGGCTCAACCTATGCATATTCAGGAAAACCACACTTTTAAAGTGCATCGCCCATTTGAACGTTTATGACGGGGAGATCTTATACAGAGGAGGGTACGCTCATCACACCTTCAAGTCGATTTCTCTCATGTCTGACACGCGATGTTCACTACCTGCAGGACAGCTAAGGCACATGGTATGCATGACACCTATCACTCGCACACGAAGCTCATGAAGATGTCCCGTAATTACAGGTGTGCCTGTGTTTAGAACACGGGTATTCTACGTGCCCCAGAGACCCGCTTTGCTGCCAGGCACGCCGCGCGATTTTATGGCAACGGTCGCATCCTTCCAGTCCCGTAAATTGAACTCGGAATCTGATCTTGCCAATGCTATGGATATCTCCAAGGGGTGGGGCGTTGATCATGAACTATGGGACAGGAATTGGACTAGCTTGAGTGGTGGCGAGGCGCAAAGGATAGCACTGGCCGCTGCAGTGGGGCTGAACACCGCTGAAGTCCTTCTACTTGACGGTAAGACTCGATTCATATTGCATATCGTTTATATCATGACTGAGATGTGCGCTGCCTTGTATTTCTCCAGAACCAACTTCAGCTCTCGATCATCACTCGACTAAGCTTGTGGAAGAGTTCATCCTGAACGCCCTCAGATCCCCACAAAACGGATTGAAAGCGATAGTCTGGATCACCCATTCCGAGGAACAAGCAAGAAGAGTAGGAACCAGATTCCTTCGGATCTCAACCTCTGGTTGTGAGGAAGAGCCACTTATGCCTGAACCGTAGATATTGTGATGTTTCAACAGGAACTTGAACTGGATATCCGATGCTTTACATAATAACAAACAATACGCCATCACTCTTCGATAGTCCCATAGCTCAGTGGTCAGAGCGTTGTACTTATGAGGTTACATTCCATGCAAGGGTCCCGAGTTCAATCCTCGGTGGGACTAATTTTTTCATTTCGCTTGTTTGGTTTCCATATATGGGAATTCGCGCTTTCTTCTCAATCATCCCGCTGACAGCCTGCCGGCTTTATCCACACTCCTCCACGCCCCGGCCCGCCCACCGTTTTTCTTTCCTTTCTCTAGCATCGTTGACGCCGCCGACAATAATGGCTTCGTCTATGCTCCTTCTCTCAACGCTGCCTAGAACCTTTGCCTCCGCGACTGGACGTAATGTCTTGCGATCTGCATTGCAAGGTAAGGACATTTTGAACCTTGTCTCCTCTTCACTTATGTTACATTTCACAGTGAGAGCAAGTTCGACTACTCAATATGTTCCAGGTGGACGTATGTTTAACGAACCCTTCTCTGTGATACCTGACGAGCTTACACTCACTCGACAGCTATCATAAGGGGCACAGTCAACGACCCTGTCGAGTTCCCTCACCCATCAAAGATGCATGGCTCGTATCACTGGGCATTCGAGCGACTTCTTGCGGCCTCCCTCGTTCCCATGACCGCAGCAGCTTTTGTGACCTCCGGATCATCTTACCCAGTCCTCGACGGATTGCTTGGTCTCAGCTTAGTGATGCACTCTCATATCGGGGTGCGTCAGCGATAGAGTTGGTATTCTGCGAGGTTTTGACGTCACCTTCTCTATGCTAGTTCGACTCAATGGTTGTGGACTACGTGCACAAGCGCAAATTCCCTATCATTGGCCCTATCCTGACCTGGACACTGAGAACCGCGACGGTTGGCGTGCTTGTCGGCGTTTATCAGTTCAACGCAAATGATATTGGTGTGATAAATATCACTTGTCATCGTTCCTCGTCTGACTCAGGTTCCTATAGGTTTGACGGAGCTGATTGCGAAGGTCTGGACAGCGTGAGATTATATGCAGGTTATATCGAGAGACAAGAAATCGCGAATTAAGTATAATCGTACTATCCATCCTCTCTAACAGAGATACAAATTCTACTAGCACTTGCCCGACTGCCCTTCGAAGCTCCCATTATCCGAACTTCCGCCCCAACCTCGAAACGACCAGTGCAGAGGAAGCACTAGTGGCACATCCACAGCCTTGGTTTCGTCGGGTTTCACCTTCCCTATTGCGATGCTAGATAAAACACCTTCCGAAAGGACCTGTTCAGCTGGATCAAAGATCAAGTCTAGTGTCATCACAAGAGGCAATACTGTGGGCAAATTTAGCGAGCTGAGTGGGAAAGATTCTTGAGAAATGGCGAACATGATGAATTGGCAACCTCGACGCGAAGATAGAGCATCTCGTTTGGACTGGCGATGTATTTGCCTCCGCTATAATCGAGTTCTTGGGGTGAACCGTCTGGGTTGTCCACTATTAGCGTCAAGTCAATTTGCACCACGTCTGTCCGCAAGGCCTTCAACATTGGGAGCGTCAACCGCTGTTGTCGCAGCGAGAGATCTCCATGTCTATCGCCAGTTCGTCTAAACCAATGAATATCAGCGACAAATATGATAAGTGAAGAATAGATGACCTCTTTCCATCGAGCGGACACGATCTTGAGGAGTTCTTCACGATACCAGAATAACTCTCGTTGAGCTTGTTCCTCTTCTATTGACAACTTGGACTTTCCGACGACGAACTGACGGTCTGATAATGTCGGTATAGGTTGCGAAATCTGATCATCTGATAGCCTGAACTTCTTAACCGGAAGCATGATACTTGATATGCCAGGCGTGAGGTTACGTGTATGAATGTTCCGTGAACGACTCACCGCGACATTGACCCTGGAGGAACAGTTGATGAAACAGCTGCACTTTCCGTTCCTGTGGAACTTCAGCATCAGGAAGGAATTTTTGGGAGTATCTAGAAGTCCTGTGCTTACCAGCTTGTTCACGTTCGAATGTAACTTCGAATGGGAGCCCATATGTGTTGCGGACGTCAATTGCAAACAAGCACCATTCTTTCAGATTATCAACCTCTGGAAGGTGGTGTATCGCGGAATTGCTAGCCCGGCGACTGATGTCATCATAGTCCACATCAATCATTGGCATGAGTCTCATATCATGGCACTCCAGCATATGGTAAACAGTCACTGTCACCGGATATGATAACTGTCGAGTGTAGAACACCTCGGGTACGGGCACCTGTTCCTCGTGGTCTCGATTGACCTGGGAATATGATATGTGAACGGTGCCATGTGCACTAAATTTCAATGGTTTTAGTGCCGATAAAGGCGGAGAAATCAGCAACAACATACCAACCAACTTTCCCTACGCAGGTCACAGAAAGAACTACCTTTTGGTTTGGCAAAATGTTGGTGATCTCCTTCTCATTGCGCCATGAAAATGCCTTTCGGTGCAGAAGATCGTATTCTGTCTCATATGTTTCGAAGACAGAAAGTTCTCCTTCAGACAGAGCTTCCTGTGCGGGACCAATGGTGGAGTCTTCAAAAGATAACCGAATGAAATCAATCGGCAATGCGGAAATATTCTCCAAAGTTAAGCGAATGGTTGATCTGTAACGCATTAATCAATAGAAATATTTACAAGAACAAGCATACATACTCTTCGCCGTTGTACAGCATGACTGCTCCGTGTGTTAACGACGTCCATCTGATTCGGAGGAGGGGTTGCTCAGGAACAACGACACATTGTAGGAATTGAGGTGGATTTTTGAGGGATGGGAGTAAGGTACTGAGTCGCCTCCCATCCTTCTCCCATGGCAGAGAGTCGAGGCCCCAATACTTGGTGCGACCGCTTTCGCATCTCACAGCACTTTGACGGCGTGCAAAAAGATTCTGATCGGCATCAGTCGGGACAGGTAATAGAAATTCTCTTGGAGCTCCCCAAGGGGCTTGAACAATGCATCCTCGGAAAACCAAAGTTCCTCGCGTTTTCGCAGTGCCGATGATGGTAATTGAATAGAGGGTGTTGGGAGGAATGACGAGTGCTGAGACAGGACTGGATTCAAATTCCACACCAGTTGTGCTAAGGATCTGAAGGTTAACTTATTGATCAACTGACCCAAAAAATGCTATACCTGAGCGAAATACTTTGGATTTCCAGGTCGAACACATAAGGATTTCGCAAGGTGATTGTGAGCTCAATAGGTTCATCTTGGACAATCAAGTTTTTGCTCTATGAACATCCCAAAAACTGAAAATATGTTTCACTGTCAGTAAAAAGGGACTGACCTGTGGACCTGATGATTTCCTGGGGTTATATAGGAAAGGGTCAATGATCCCGCTAAGCAGAGAATTCGTGGCAGATGATTTTGCAGTCAATATAGAGAATGGATTTTCAATTGGCAGGCGGTGCAAGGCCAACCTGTAAGGGCGGGAGTTAACATAGTTATGCTGTTTGTAGCAATTACATACGGCAATAATGCAAGACTCATGATAGGGTTCCCGGCCCAGTACTCGACTGCAGGTGCGTCACCGCGCCGACGCATAGCAGCAAGAGCACGTCCAGCAGTTTGGTACAGATGGTATTGATCACTACTGGCCAACACGGAATGCATTGTTCTCAACGCAGAGAGTGATATTCGCGCTACAGCGAGCGGATCTAGGGCTGTCTTAGAGACTGTTGTTTCGTGGAAAATACCACTCACCGGGAAGGGCCTCTGCCACAGCAATGGCCTCGCGAATAACTCCAACTTGAAGTTCTGGCCACCCGAAAGATTCCCTTGCCGCATCTGCCAAGCCCTCTAAGTCCTCCACAGCAAAGCCGTTACTGTCTCTACCCCCTGCTTCGCTGCTATTGCCGTCTGTTGCCGTTGCCACGCCGACCGCTTCCAGATCAACACCAAGGACCTTGCAGGCACGGACGAGGAGTTTCAGGATGCTCTGATTGCCTTCCAGGATCTCATTTTGTCGCACACCAACAGCCCCCTTCCCAACTGCGCTCACTTCGTCACCATTCTCGGAGCGATTGCCTGTGTTTGCGCTTCCAACGTCAGATTTCCGTGAAAGGTCATTTTCTTCCCGGCCACAAACAATGAGATCCATGATGCAACTGATGACTTCGCGCAGAATGAAGGCTTCCTTCCGCTTGTATCCAAGGGATGAATAAATGGTCGCCATAGATTGCAAAATGTTGAGCCGCTCATGAGGACCAAGATGCAGTAACCATGGTCCGTGAGCTTGCGACACGGTGTTTGCTATCTGTGAACGAGACACGCCTGACACGATACTTATGCGCTCCAGATTTGTCCAGGAGTTATCAGATGTTGTCTTCTGCGTATATGAGGTCGACGCTGGTTGTAGCATTGAAGCAAAAGCTAATGCACCCCATCCCTTGGTAGACCAGGTGCAGAAAAGGAGTGATGTTTGGCGCATAACAGCTGTGCAGTATGTCAGGGCCAAAAGTGAATGATCCTGGCTAGGCTCAGAAGGCGCAGGAGCCTTGTGATAGAGAGCTATAGCTTGAGACAGTTGATCATATATGTCGGCCCAAGGTTCCTTGATGCCGTTGTTGCTAACAGAGGATTGCTGCATACGATTTCAACATCGCTCACCCAAGGCGATAGCTGACTTACCAGGCCTTGGCCAGCCGACCATGCATCTAGAACAAAAACCGTTGCCATCCCTTCTAACACGGAGCCATGCCATACAGGATCCTGCCCGGTCTTGAACAGCACAATAGCTTCTGCATACCTTGGGCGAATTCAACCGTGGTGAACTGATAAGATGAATAAAGGATACGGACCACAACGATGCATCCTCTGTCCTACCAGCCAGCAGGAAGAAATCGCCAAGAACCTTATAAAGTCTACCATGTGACGAAACGGCACCGACCGCACTGATGCGTTTCCTAACCGCTGGAGGACCAAGTATAGTTTGCCGTTGAATAAGGGATGCCGTATGACTGATACCAGGTCCAGCAGTCGAGCTGCGCTTGATCTGAATACCTGACATCGCCAGGCCCGATGATTCGAGTTCAGGCTGGCTCGAGTACGAAGGATATCCAAGATTTCCGGAACTGAGAGAAAGCGGCATCTCAGAGGGAGAAGGGAGTGTCGGGAAAAGAGCAGAATTCAGATACTCATTTCCTATGGGACTCTCGAGAACATGATACTATAGATCTGTTAGTAGTGTCTTCGATACTCTGTATCAAATGTTGATCCATACCACACGACCAAGTTCAGCTAGAATGTGAGAGCACAAATCAGCAAGCAGAGTACCAATATAAAGTTTCTTGTTCCCCATCACGCTCGGAATCGAAACAATCCCAGGTAACGTATCTCCGAGACCAGTACTCCCAGCACTTTCTTCATCCTCAAAGGCCAGGCAGACTTTGGCAAGAGGAAATGTCGAGCCTTCCGGAAAGATGTCAAGCACAGTATTCTCGAATTGCTCAAGAGCAGAAGCAAGGGAATATGAGGATGAACACGCGGCGACACCAATTATCCCTAGCGTGAAGTGAGACGGTCGGAACAGAGACAGCGACATATGGCGAGGAGGAGGGGGATGGGATGGGTAGCTCAGATATAGATAACCACTGGAAAGTGGATTTGGCATGAAACGAGCTGAGGTTCCGTGAACAACTGTTGTTTAAGCAAAAAAGGGCTTGCGTACCTCGCTCATCCTTCATGCCAGCAGGTATGTCGCCTAAGCGAATTGAATCGAACGTCCTGATTTCTGCCGCATACTTCTCAAAGGCAGCACGGGGTATTGGGCCCACTGGGAAGACAAGGATTGGAATATGTGCAAGCGCTGCGAATGCATGAGAGTTCATGGGATGCCTTGAGCTGTTCGTTATAAGCTTAAATCATCAAGTACGAAAGTCGGACTCTCTTGGCGCTCAGCTGCTCGCAAACGTTGACAATGAGCTGGCATGATTTTTGACTCGGAAACAAACTACGCACTCGTGTTATGTATGTAGTAGTGTTTTCCCGATCCGCTAACCCACCAACTTTGACTTTTGACCGACTCCGGACTTGCACGCAGTGCTCTATTCTTTATAATTACGCTCGACCTCAGATTCAATTTCCAAGTAGGTTTAACGGACTTTGCGATGGTGAGTAGTAAATGTATGTGATGTTTTAAGGTTGGCTGATGGGAGCAACTATCTAAGGGTGTAAGTGACAAGTCTCTTGGAGGGGTGATGTTGCTAGTTGCTGGTTTCGTTTTCACGTACTACACGACATGGGCCATCTTACTCGTCAGTTCGCCAGGCTTACGTTGAACGGGCCATATAGCTGAACATTCTTCAGCCCTTCTTCGATGCATCCAGCCCCATACACAACTATTTTCCTGCACGCGAATGGGCAATACGGCTGCCAGCATTCGTGCTCGTGCTCGGACTTTCGGGTATCGGTTTCTTCGTTGGCTCCACCATCATGAAGGAGAATAGAAAGAAAGCACAAAAAGCGAAACTCAGGGCAGCCTGACAGCGAGAGATCTAGATACGCATATCCACCGCCTCTCCCTTTTCTCAGATTTATTATTTTCCTGGAATTTATTGCAAAACCTGGGGCTATGTAGGAATCCGCGTGTCCCTTTTACGTTCAACGGGTCGCTGCACGCTTTCGAAGACTCGCAACTTCTCTGCATTCTCAACATCCTGTTTTGCTTGAGCAATGACCGCGCTAGGCAGCAATTCAGGTAAAAGCTCTCCATCCAGAGCCCGGGACAGCTGCATATGAATAAATAAACATGGTTCAAAGACAGGACAGAAGAGCATGCCTTGCTAAGTGCGGAATTTCGTCTTCCAGAGTCACGCAAGCGATTCAGCATTACCACATATGGCACGGTGTCCAACCCTACAGGTGAGCGTGATTGTAGCACAAAGAGAAATAAGTTTGCTACGGAAGCCCATATTGTCGTGGCCAGTGGCTGATGTGACACAGTCAGCACGGGATTCTTGAGCAGAGGTCAAGTATCGAATGCTTACTAGGAGATCTTCCGGGACACTGTCAGCTTTGAAGAGATTTACCAGCGCTTCGAATGGGGGCCACAACTCGTTCCAAATGACTTTGACGCTGGGTGACTCTCTCGTCGGATTGGCAAGCGGCATTTGTGCAAGCAGCAGCCACAACTTAAGAGCTATGAAAGCGTGTTCCACATCTGTCACAGCAGATTCGGAAGGCGTCGTCCCTTCGAGTACATATGTGCCTAAGCACTTGTAGTATGCCGGCGTGAATGCATTCAACTGCGGTAATAAGACTCGGATGTGAGTGTCAGCAGAGTCGCTAAGCACACCGAGCAGTAGAATATTCCAAGCACGGACAACTGTGCCAGCTTGTGTGGATTTCTGGTGAGGCTGTTGAGTTTAGGTCCGTGATATTTATCGAACACGTACCTCAAAACCTTCGGCAATCATATCTGAAAGCGACACGCGCCCGACATCTACGGCATGGAGGACCAACCGCGAAACAGAAATTGATGCAGATAACTCCGCGCTTGAGTCAGAAATTATCCATGCATGGTTGTGCAGAAAGTAAAGCCCACTGCACGCTACTTGTCTGAGTCCAACAGTTCGGACATCAGTGCAGAGAATCGTCTAAGGCGATATTTAGATCATGAGGCACATCTTTTGAGAAAAAAAATACCTCAACGATCGCATTCAAAGTGGAAGGCGTGACTCGTGCTCTGGCTCGGAAAACATCCTCTAGCATTTCCAACAAGATATGCGTTACGTGGTTGGTGTTAGAAGATACCAAGTCCTGCTTTGAACTCAGAGATGTATCACTGAGCGAACTGACAGCATGTGATGCCCGAATTAGACACTGTTTCTCCACATTGGACCTCGATAATGCGACCCTCAGTACCGTTTCTGTACACTCCAGAAGATCCTAAAGGAAACGACAGGACCGATCATTGATTCGTTTGGGTCGAGAATGCTGTATATCTTTTTACCTTGGTGTATGCTCTGTTGTACTGCAAAAGAGTTGTGGAAATATACAACAGGAGATTGGGGTCAAATCTGGCGTTGTTTCCCAGTGCCGATGCTCGGCGTGCCGTCACCATAAGCCAATTCATGACGTCTGCCAATCCAATTGGGACGAGGGGTAGAAAGTGGAAGGAATATCTCTCACCTTTGATCAACCATTTGCTGAGCCCTTCAAAGTGGACCAACTCTGTGTATTCCTTCACGTTCAAAGCAATATTATGATTGATCGTCCAATCCGCGTCTGGAGGCTGTGTCACGACACTCTGCAAGAGCACTTCTCGCAGGCTTTCCTGTGACGAGGGTGCCCTGCGGGATTCAGCTTCTGCGATGGATTTTATTACCATAAAAAAATCCGAGCCCAGCGGGCGCTTAAATGCGTGTTGATCAGTTTGAGACACTTAGCCCACCATACGGATAACATACTTTGCATAGACTACAGAACACTCCACTTTGTGCCAATCTGAGCTAGATGTTGTCAGCGGGCAGGGGACGAGCAGTGAAAGGCACCATACGTGACAAGCGTGTTTTCGATAAATGATTTCGCTCGAGTGACTAACATATCTTCGGTGTTATGTTTCAGCAACGCAATCAGTGCAACAGCACGTTCAATTGATTCGCTGTAGGCAACTTTATATCAGTTATCAACGAAGTTGAAAGGTATACCACGCTCACGTCACTAGCGCGCCAGATATGGCAGACCCCCTCTTGATGTATGTCTCTATTACGGATAATGTCACTTGACGCAAGTCATAGCTCAGGTCAACCAACAACAGGTCTAAGGTCTTCTTTAACGCCTTGCGGAGTAGAACATCAAGATGTCTGAGCGCGGGGCTATCGAAGTCATGCTTATAAATCATTGCCATTAGTGCTTCCAGCAAGCTCTTCAAGGTAAGAGCTGGGAGCTCGAGTGGTTCGTCTATGGCGCAGAAAGCACCCAGCACGACATCCATCCAAATGGACCCAATAAGCACGCGACAAGGTCTGTCATCTTCGGTAAACGGACTGTTCATAAGGGAGGGCGGCAGGTTAAATGGGTGGGGGGCATCCAGGACGCGTGCAAATTCGTTCACACACGGCAAAGACTGTTGTGGGATACCACTGAAGCCATCCAAGTGGACTGAGAACGCCCGCCCGTTGAATGCAGAGACCATCTGCGCCCCACTGAAGCCAATCATTTTGGCTAGATACAACTTAAACTTCAGACATGACATGAGGTCGATCTCGACTCCATTTTCCATCATGCGCAACCCAAGCAACGCAATCGATGTCTGTTCGAGGAATCAGATAGAAAAAATGATGACACAGCAGCCCCTCGCACCTGAATGGAGTGAATTTCTGGGTCTAAATCTCGTGGGTGAGCATCATTTTGAGTCTTCGGCCCGTACATTTCCTGCCAGTATGTATGGTCAGCGGAATGTTTGGTTCATTGACGGAAATTGTGACGAACAAGGTGAGCGACGGCAGGGTCTTCATCGTTGCTGTTGTGTTGCAAGTGATCGTATTCAAACAGCGTCTCGATAACTGTGCTCCAGGAGAGCACTGCGACAAATTCACACTTAATCTCAGTAGAATCAGGGTGTAAAAAATGTTACCTCTCCACTTCGGGAAATGTGATTGGAGCTGAAGAAGAAAGGAGACCAGCCGGAGACGCTTTGACATAGGTATGTCGATAAAGGAATCGTTCCAACATGATGCGATGGCATCTAAATGGGCCGAAAGCAATGTCTGCAACCAGGTGTCAGCTGCTGTCCTGACTTCTTCCTGTTGGCAATGGTTGCATCAGTCGTGTGCCCGCAAAATAATTTGTTGTCGACATACCTTCTCATCGATCCAGAGCGGTTCAAATGCGTGGTAGAAGAGGTTGACGACGCTGTGTTTCCAGGGCCGATCTTTAACCACGAAGTCGGGACTAGTAATGTCTAGCACCATGCGAAAGAATCTGTCTAGGGCCAGGAGTCTAGTCGCCAGAACGTTATTCGCATCTCAAAGGCGACAGGAATGTAGATACCTGACGTCCCATGCTACTGTTGGTCCGCTCATCAAAGACATGAACTCGTAGAACGACTGTGGATCAACAATCGATATTCTAATGAATAAGGTGGTCCTAATGCTTGCGATCTCATGATGCTGGATCCCGTAAAAGTGCCAGATACTGGGATAAGAAAGAATTGTCTAGCAGATGACAAACTTAGGAGATGATTATACATACCATGGATATAGAGTGCTTCCATTGCGCAACACGAAGTTATCGACCTCATGTGCCTCGAGAAGCGAAGCATGCATAATAAAAGAGTGTAGGAATTTTGCAATGAGACAAACGACTTGTTCCATGCCGGTTGCAACGAGAGTACTGAGAACGAGCATCAGTTCACCCTCAATGATAATGGGATCGGTAGCCTGAGCCACGCGTGTGTTCTGCTTTCTCCTGGTGTTCGGTCAGCTTGGGGCCACGAGCCGAACGTGGTCGGTCTAACTTGCCTTGAAGGAAGAATTTTGATATCTTCTTCTGTTATCATTTCGTTTGAAGTGAGCATGGCGCGATCACATCCGTAAAGCAACAGGCAAGTAGCGAGACATTGTCTGATGAATGTCGATGCACTTCAATCTTGTCGTCAGTAATGAGGCAGTATAAGTAGTAGTATCCGGAAACCCACCATGAAGCATTGTCACTTGAGGATCGGAGGGCACTCTTGATAGCAGGCTGTAGGCTGGCGATCATAGTTGAGATCGATTTCTGTAAATCTTGTCGGCCCATAGACTTCGTCCACACAGACATTAAGGTGGCTTCAGCGAAGACCGAGGCCTGCTTCAAAGTCACAATGCCTTTCCGTGACAGTTCGCTGTACTCAGCAAATATTGGTACGTTAATGTCGACACCCGAACGAGCAAACAACCTCAGCCAGCGGAGGCTGTCCAAAAGTCCGTTTCCCTTAGCCGCCCGTCGAACTATGCCCCATGGATCAGATAGCTTCACTACGTGCCCATCGGCTTGCGCAAAAACCTGGTCGACAAACGTGGTGTGGCGAGATGCGTTCTCAGCTGAATCTCGATTGAGGAGACGTTGCAGAATTGGAAGAGACTTTGGATTAATGAGCATCAGTCGCCGAATTAACAAGCATCGCATCCCGTACCGCTGTATCGAGCACCTCGGGTTCGAGTGTCTGAAGCCACATGAGAAATAAATCATCAAGCACTGTGAAGCTGACTGAAGCTCTGCACAGTCTTGTGATAAAGCGCAGTGATCTTTCCGCGGTCGACGATGACTGTCAGGCTTCCAAATTAGTTTGCAAACTATACGTTCATAGGAGCGGCACAGACTTCGTGTGCATTGAGACATGAGCTTTTGTGACGAGAAGAAATATCCTGGATAATATCAGACAATAATCGGGCATACGCAACAAAATCTTGATCATGCAGTGCTAGAAGCCATCGGGCAGCATATCTTGAAAGCAGACAACGCCTGGCTGCAACATAATCTCCACCATTATTGATGGAACTACTTGGTGCGCGACGCACGTCATGAGTGGTTGGCCACACGGGA